GGATGGGAAACTGGCCAGGAAGGAGCTGATTGAGTTCATGGCCAATGCCACTGTCAAGAATGGGGTTGTCACCAGCATGGTGAAAGGAGTAAAGGTGCAGTTTGATGCACCTAAATTAGGTGAGATTCTAGACTTTCCAGTGTGGGATATGATGATTACACTAGGCAAAGGTGGCCTTGTTTGGATTCTCTTCCTACTGCACTCCAAATCACCAAAAACTTTTCTGATTCTGCAACTGCTGAAGATGTGCCTGAAGCAAGATTTGTTCAGAAGAGTGAGATGAGGGCTGAGCACAAGGTGCTATTTGAGTTTGTGAACAAATGCTTGCTGCCAAGGCAGGAGAGAAGGCACACTGCCAATTACATGGACTTGGTTCTCATGGAGTGCCTTGTGAGAGGAATGCAGATAAACTGGCCTGCTTTTATTGTCAAACTACTGGATAGAGTCATTAATGGCTCCAAAGCTCATGCCACACCATATGGGTTCCTATTGACTACTGTTCTGGAAAGGCTAAATGTGCCTTTGAAGAAGTGGGAAATGGCATCAAGCAAGGAGCATTTGGGNNATTGCTGAACTGAAAATGAGAGAAATGGCCTTAAATCTGAGCTAGCAAAGGAAAAGGAAAATAGTGATGGAATGCTTCAGAATATGCTCAACCTTCTCCAAACCCAGCCATCTAGTTCCTCCAAGCCCTAGGATGTCCAGTCCCTGTCTTTGAACCAGTCTAGAACCCCCCCCCCCAGTGACCTAGTTAGGGATTTTTTTTTGCTTTTTGCTCATGGTTGGAAGCTTTTTCTTTCTTTTTGTGGTCTGTGTATGGAGGCATCTCTAATCAATGACAATTTGCTATTTCTCTTGTTCTATTGCAGATTCTGATCTTAATAGTTCATTTTGTTTGCTGGTTGTTGTTTAATTAAACCATGTTTTCACTTGCAGTTGCCCCAGTGGCCATGAGTAATTATTAATATCTGGGTTTACAATATACGCAACTTTTCGATGATGCCAAAAGGGGGAAGAGATATTGTGCTTTACTTTTTATTCTGAACTAAAGTGATATTTATAACCTGATTAAAACCTGGTCCTTAATGATAAGTTAAGATTTCTAAGTTAAAGTGTTGATAATTAAGCTGAGTTCCACAGGTTCTCTGATCAGTAAAAGCACAGAGTTTGTCATCATTAAAAAGGGGGAATTTGTTGGCCCAAGTTCAGATGAAGTTTTGAAGATTGACAAATGAACTCAGTCATGGACCAGGTTCATCATGTGAGACACAGTGGTTATTTACTTATACATGTGAGATGCACGTGAAGAAGATAAGTCTCAAGGATCAAGCAGCAATATCTTCTTAATTGATCGAAAAGGTTGCATAAAGGATGAGGAGATGAAGTCTCCTAATGTGAAGAGAACTTAATCCGGATCAAGGATAAGGGTTGGAGTTTATATTGTTGTAGGACTCAAATTCGACAAAGGATCAGCAATTGAGTCTCAATCAAACTATGATTACTAATCTCATTAAATAACAATGATTGTTCTCTTTTACAGGTGTTGCACAAACGCAGAAGTAAAACTAAATTGAGAGCAAAAGAGCGAGGCAATTTTGCAAGCAATTTGTGTGAAATTCAAGTGTGCATTCCTGAAGCTACTTGGACAAGATAGAAGAACCAATTCTATTATGTTTATTCTTATTCTAGTTCAATTGTAGTAGGTGATTTAAAGTTGTACCTTTCCAGCTTTCATAGAAGCAATTGTATTAGGTACTTTGAGTATTCAAGTTAGAGTTAACTTGAAGGTGTCGCAGCAGTTGAAGCTGTGTGCCACACTGGGATTAGCGTTTAATCCTTAGGTTTACAAGAGTTTTGTAAATGCTATTTTTGGCTCAGTGATTTTAGTGGAAGTTTGGGAAAATCCTACTGAGTAGTAGGTCGTGGTTTTTTCACCTTTTGAGCCAGGTGTTTTCCACGTAAAAATCTCTGAGTTCTTTATTTTATGCATTTTTAGTTCCGCAAACAGTAGTAGTAAGTACACCTAGAAGAACCAGGTTCTTCTAGAGCGAAAATTGGGTACCACACAAATCACCCCCCTCCTCTTGTGTGGTATTGATGTTTAGAACATCACTATGTCATCCTGTGTAGTCTAGAACTTGCCCCGTGTGTTAATTGAAGCGAAATTGTAAGTTGTGCTAATCTAGGAGATGACGTAAGAATTTTCTTGTTTGATCATGGTGTGCTTGTCACATAAAAATAAAATTTTCCGTTGCTAGCCCCTTTGAGCCTATAGACCTTTCTTTTGGCACCCACATTACAAGCCATACCCCCATTTTGTTCTTAATTTGATATTGATTGAACCTTTACCTCCTAAGGCATTTTTTTTAGTCGCTAAAAGAAGTAAGGTTAGAGATTGGGGAGTAGCGTGGAACCATGGAAGGGCCCGTTGGTGCACTAAAGCTGAAATCAAATGTCACTAGCCGATGAACTTTAATGTATGGAGTGTGTGAAGAAAAGGAAAAAAAAAGAGAGAAAGGAAAAGAAAAATAGCAAGAAAAGAGAAAAAAATATGATAGTTCAAATAATGTAGAAAAATACACACCTCCAATTCTTATTGATTGTGCTAGTGAAAAGTAGAGAAGTGCTTAATTGAAACGAGGGCTATGTTGTATATGGCAAGTGATTTGGTTGAGAAAAATATGAGCTTGAATTGTAAATGTAGTGTATTAAAAGTGCTTAGGAGGGATAGCCACTAATTCAAAATATATCATACCCGTCCCTTAGCCTACATTACAACCTTAAAAGTCCTAATTGATCCTAAATTTGGCTAGCTTAAATTAGTAGAGATATACACTACGGGCAAGCTTATGGTACGACCACGGGATGCATAGAATTCTTTGTGAGAGTGAGTGAATTTTGTTCAATTGTGTGATGTCCTTAATCTATATTCAAAAGTATATTTGAATGTGTGGACCAATTTATGCTCTCTCTTTTGTTGTTGGTAAGGGCACATGATCTCATGAAGGATTGGTAAAGTTGTAAACTTTCTTGTTAGGTAAGTGCATGAATTGAGGGTGCTTAGTGGTTGCAAGTCGATTGTTGAGGTTGGGTGGTGACGAATAGGTTGTTGGAATTTATTGAATTGAAATATTATACTTGGGTATGCTTAAACGGGAAGAATGTGAATTTTCTGTGCGTTCATGCTTGTGTGCCGGTAGTGATCGTGGTCTAGGGTATAGTGTGTGGTTAAAAGTTAGGGTTCTCCTCTATGATTGAACTTTGTACGTAGTTGGAGGGTAGTAGATTGTCCCATTGCTCGAGGACGAGCAAGAGTCTAAGTGTGGGGTGTTGATGTTTAGCTTAAAGCATATATATTTCTATGTATATCGCCTCATATTTTACTTTTGTTTCGTGAATTTGGGATGTTAAATGTGTTGATTTATGTTAATTTGATGTGTTTTTATGTGTAGGAATGATTCGGGAGCAATTAACGCGCGAGATTTGAGCCAAAACGAACGAAACCGGGCAATGTGTGAATTTGGGCGCCACAGGCAGCACCTGGCGCCACCTGTGGCGCTGAAAACAGTGTGCACAAATAATGGGGCGCCGTGGAGGGCGCCTGGCTGGGCGCCGGTGACGTGAAATGTGTCCTATTTCGCCCGGGACAAGGTTATTTTAGCCCTAGACCTACTCAACACGTATAAAAGCAAGACTAAACCTATTTTTGTAGGGGGAGACGCCACTTTGGAGGAAAGATACACACGGGATCGTGAGGAGGCGGAGAATTCTCAGTTTTCTTCATCTTTTTCTAGTATTTTCAATTATTCAAAACTTATGCAATTGTTTGATTACATCATGAGTGGATAAACACCCATTGTTCTGGGGTTGTGATTTAGCCATGAATATTGTTGTTTGATATTAACTTAACCTTGATTATAATTCACCAACATATGGTTGTTTCTTCAATTCTATGTTTAATTGCTTAATTGTCTGGCCAGCAGTTAGGTTCTATTTACTATCTATGCTATGCTTGGGAAAGCCGTGTTTAGATTAGAGAAGAATTGAAGAGAGCATGATCTTAACCCTTAGGGGGAGCGGATTTGTGGTTAGGATAGGAATATACCTAGTCATCGTGCTTAATTAAATATCGTGATCTTAATGCGTTCTTAATAGATTGATTTCATAGGAATATAGGCGTTATCTATTGAGAATAGGTGAGTAGTACTTCGGGAGAAGGCTATGGGAGCATTTATCGATTAATTAGCAACCATGAGCGAATTATAGGAAGGGGAGAGTTAATTAGAACACAATATGATTGGTGAATCGATCACAACCCTGGAATACTTGTCTCTACTGCATACACAACAATCAACTCGTTACTTGATAATTTAGTTAGTATTTAGAATCGTAGTATGATATAATCATATTAGTGAACTTTGATTTTAGCTGGATTGAATAACAATTTTAGTGATTTCGTGAGTAGTTTACACAAGTCTCTGTGGGTTCGACACTCAACTTATCATTATATTACTTGTTGACCACGTATACTTGCGTGTACGTTTGGGAGCAACAATTCTTACACTTAACAAAAGAAAACTACCAATCAAATTAGAATGTAAAGGTAAAGAACTATACGAAAAGTGCAAACTATTAACATTTACCATAAATTTTTTGAAACTATGTATAAAAATATACATATATATAGGTGTAATAATAAATTTGAAATAGCTACTCCTATAGTCGGTTTGGTTCGGGTTTTTTTTCGGTTTTTTCTGATTAAAACCAAAACCAAACCAAATTTGATCGGTTTTTAAAATTCAAAACCAAAACCAAACCAAACCACAAAGTATCGATTTTTTTGATCGATTGGTTCGATTTTTCGAGTTTTTATGAACCCCTACTTGAAACCATAGGACCCATGTGATTATTACAATTGTTTACCAACCAAACTAGCCACTATAGAGTATAGAGTATTCCCTTGTTGACTAAAACGACTTTAATTTCAGTGAAAGAAAAGAAAAGCATAAGCATCAGATGCTTGGCCACCCCACCACGACGCACCCTTTTGGAATATTGGACCATTATATTAACTCCTCTTTCTTTCTTCATTATACAACACATACTCGATCGGCTCTTTTCTTCTTCCCTTATTTCAAATTTCCAGTAAAATAATCGAAAGAGATAATGGCGGATCAGCTGACTGACGATCAGATCTCTGAGTTTAAAGAAGCCTTTAGCCTCTTCGACAAGGACGGCGATGGTCTGCCTCTGCTCTTTCCCCTTTTTATACTTCTTTTTTTTTTTTTTTCTTTTCTCAGATCCATTCCTATTTTTGCCCCTTTTTTAATGTTGCTTTCGATTGACGGTTTTGTGATCTATGATTTGCAGCTAATTATAAGCTTTGCTGTTCATTACGTGATAATTGTAGGCGCGAGATACTGTTGATGCTGTTTCTTTAGTTGGTTGTTTCAATTTTGTTTATTTGATTTTTGATAGAAATGAATGTGAACATGGATCTATTTGAAACTTGTGGCTTCTATATTTTGGTTCAATGTGTTGAATTCCTTGATTTTTCGTGGTAGTTGAGCTTGAGATTTGTTATTTTGGGGATTACATATATGTTAAATCAGTTAAATAGGTCGATCGTTTTATTTTGGTTTCTTTCTAGTTGGTGGATTCTACTCGTGAATTATGATTTCTTTGGCTTTGTTTCTTGATGGATTCTCTCCATTTTGTTCAACGTGGTAACTTGTTTGTAATTGTGGATTTCACTTTGCTTTACCTTGTTGGTAAAGATCATTCTAGTCTATATGTGTAAGCCTATTCAGCAATTAATAGATTATTTAGAGAAAGACCCAAGTTTTGAATTTTATATATGTGGCTGTAAACGTCCAAAGTCGATAAATATGCAACTTGAGAATATAGCAGTAATAAGTAAGTAGATCATAGTTGGATAGCAATAGTTAGTACTCGAATATGAGTAGCTGCTGCCTCTTGAAACGACTGAAGCCTTCAGCTACTTTCAGTTCAATTTTTTTTGCCAATTTGATTTCCATTTTCTGTTTGGAAATAATTGTCCCTTTACTTTTCTTCCTTATATTGGAGATTGAAGTGTGGGATGCTGCGTTAATGGTGTTTAACTTTGTTTTCTGCTGTTGGGATCACTCATAGGCTTCTATTATTATGATGAACGTTGTTTTTCTGCTGCTCCTCCTTCGTATACTTTGAGAACATAAAACCGTGGAAGTCTATTTCCACATGTCCACAGAAACAAGAGAAAAAGAAAAAGGAAACTACAGTTTTGGTTTAATTATAAGCTCTTAAAACTAAACATGCTTAATAATTGTGTGTCCTGCAGGTTGCATCACTACGAAGGAGCTTGGAACTGTGATGCGGTCATTGGGGCAGAACCCAACCGAGGCTGAGCTTCAAGATATGATCAACGAAGTCGATGCTGATGGGAATGGGACCATTGACTTTCCTGAGTTCCTTAACCTGATGGCTCGCAAGATGAAGGACACTGATTCCGAGGAGGAGCTCAAGGAAGCTTTTAGAGTGTTTGACAAGGATCAGAATGGATTTATCTCTGCAGCTGAGCTTCGCCATGTCATGACAAACCTAGGTGAGAAGCTTACAGACGAAGAGGTTGATGAGATGATTCGTGAAGCTGACGTGGATGGCGATGGGCAGATCAACTATGAGGAATTCGTCAAGGTCATGATGGCCAAGTGAGAATCCAACTTAATCTTTAAATTAAAGTATAACAAAAAGGAACGGCAGATAAGTCTGATGAGGTTTCTATTTCTGGTTAGGATGTCTTCTTTGGCTTATTAGCTTTGACTGGGTGCTTGCCTGTTCTATTCTCATTGTTTCTTAATGATGTTCTTTGGTATATGCTTTTTTGCTCCCTTCCTATATTAGTAGCTTGTTTGTTAGTAACTACTGGTATTCTCTTCAAACATTTGATATTAAACCTACCACAATTGTGGGGACCTTGAATGTCTTTGTTTTTTCCCCCTTTTGAATGAGTAATTTCATCTATATTTTCGCGTGTGTTTGCTTTTATTCTAACTCTTAGCTTATGTTAATTTGCAATTTATGCTCTCTGAGACTACTCAGAGTTTTTGAAGTACAATGATCATCTAGTAGAACAAGTAGTGGCTTTTTGTGTTTCGTTTGACTTGAACCAACCACTCACTCCGTACCTCAGGGTTAAGATTATATAGGTGCAGGAGACCTATATGGTTCTACTCTAACATCGTTTGTGCGCCTATCTTTTGGGTTTATCATAAAGCTTTCTTTCTTTGGCATAAAGAAAGCGACTCCCTTCTACAATTTTGAGTTAAGGCGCGGAACCTATGTTGCTTGGACTCTTTGAAAATGTTGCCGGATGCGTGTTGGATTCTCCAATAGCAATGTATTTTTGGAGAATCCGACACGGGTGCCACAGTATTTTGGAGAGTCCGCGCAATATAGCGCGGAACTAAGTTATATTGAGGTTGTTTTTCAAGCCCCCTTTCCATTTCTTTGTGGAATGTTGAGCTTGACCTGCATCATAGTTCAAGATTGATCCGTGGCCATTAAGCCAACTCAAAACGTTGTGCCTCGAGTATGTTTCGTGCTATATAAAAAATGGCAAGGCAAGGAATGAAAAGAAGTTCAGTATTTTTGTTGTCTGTTTAACAATTTGCACAGAAAGGAAAGGAAACTATGCGCCTAGGTTTGGCCTAATGGTTAATAAAGTGGGCACAAACCTTGGAGAGCATGTTCAAGTTTCTTCTCATCTGCCTAATTCTTGGCGGGACCCGTAGCAGGTATTCGGTCGGATATTGCGCGAGCTGACTCGAACAGTGCTGCCATAAAATAAATGGGAAAGGAAACTATTACTCTTGGCAATGTCCCAAATGAAGCTTTTGCAAAAGAAGATGACTTCTACTAATCTTACTTCCATAATTTTCTTTTCCTTATTTCTTTTCAAATCTCTTTCTCTTTCCTTTTCGAACAAATTCCCTTTATCCAAATGCATTTATAGCGGAAATTGAATCCATTACAAACATTTTGATAGAAAAAGCGACATTTCAGTATCAATATAGCTTAACTTGTCCTAATACAAGTGGATTATATAGTAGGGCCAGTCAGCACAACATCTATTCCCCTCCTGGCAGATTGGACGTTCCACCCAGAAAAGAAAAAAGTAGAAAGGAATCTGATAATTGGTAAAATCTTTACAAAAAATTGCTTTTCTTTTTCATCAGCTTAAGTTTTACGCAAAACTAACTCAATTGAATTTCTCACTACTTGTTGAAAAAAAGAGATACAATTTTTGTGGTGTAGGTGTAGGGTAGTAGAGAGTACTTTTTTGGCAAAACAAGCGGTCAGCTTCCAAGTCATTTTAAATTTTTTAATTATAAACTCTTTTGAGTTAAAGTAATTTTAAACATATAAATTTTATTTCAAAATATTGAAAAATTTATTTTCGAATTCACACTAAAATTAAAATAGTTTAACCTTCTTACTCCGACTCTTGCTAAATACTAATAGCATGGAGGTGGATTTTTTTAAAAGTTTTTAAGTTAATAAACATATTTATAACATATCTTATTAAATGGTTTTATTTTCAGTAATTAGTGTACCTATAAATAAAAATTCTATATAGTTTTTGTAAAAGTTTAAATTACCAAAATCTTTGTAAACTTAAATCATGATTTATCATACTCTCTTATTTATTTTTTTAAGATGGGGTCAATAAGTTTTTTCGTAATTGTTTTTTTTCTCTTTTCCGTGCGACTTGCTTTTTGTCAAATTTTGCCCTAAAAGGTTGTTTCATATTTTTCCTAATCAATCTACTTTTGTCTTTATAAGTAAGTAACATTTCAGCTACTTGGACGAGTAAGGTATTTGTTTCTGAATCTAAGATGGGACGTTTACTTTTCCACTTTCTTATCTCTTTCCTTTCTAATTCTTTCCCCAAATTTTTGTTCTTTCCTTAAAAAAAAAAAATTGTTTCTCTTAGTCTTATGTGTCTATTTCCCCGTGCTAGTTTCTTGGATATTTTTATCATCTTTTTTTTTTTTTTTGGCTCCAACATAATACAAATATTCAGAACCATAAAAGCTCATTCTTCTTTTTCGTCCAAAGTGTGAATTAGCTATCATATTCGAAGACACTAAAATAATTTTGTCCTAATTTTTTATGTGCAAATTTTTAGTCCCTCTCCTAACACCTCTTAATTTGCCCCTGCCCGTTAAAAAAAATTTAGATTGAGTAAAACAAAAGTATCATTAAGTTGGAAAGCAAGGAAAATTTAGAAAAAGAGGAAAAAAAAGAAAAGAAGGAAAGGTTGCTATCACTAACATCAAGCATGGGTATTGTGCTTTTTCTTGATCTTTATTTGTCATAAAAGTTTATTCTTTTTTTCACATGAGAAAATGCATGTGTTTTATGTGCATCTGATTGTGCAAAATTAGATCGACATATTAAAAGCTTTGCTTTAACACATTAGAATGGAGAAGAAAAGTCTAGAGGCATTTGCATAAAGTTAAGGTTAAAATGAGTTTAATTTTTAACTGTTAAGGATTGGTAAATGAAAAAATGTTATAGCTAGACAATATCAGTAAGTTGTGTAATTGAAGTAAGTATCCTAAAAGTACTTATATAACCCAACTTTGCTAGTTCCTGCATTATATTTTATTGACAAGTTGCTAATTTTATCACTAATCTTACCGTTCTATTTTCTTTTCATTTTACACTGTCAAAATCATATTAAATTAAAAAGTTTTAACTCTTTACTCCAGAAGTTTGCGAAATACAGCCTTTGCAAAGTGGGCATTTTGTTTTAACATTATTTTAGTTAAATACTTTAACTTTTATGCACTACCACTGTAAAGTGATATTTACAATGTTAAGTCACCTAAAAAGATAACTATAGATAATGCTGGTAATAAGTGGACCTGGACATAAGGCAAGTAATTTGTTACAATTCATGTTAATATAATATTTTTAGTGTATATAAGTAAAATCTTTAATTAAAACGCCAAGAAAATTTAACTCCTTAATTCGGAAAGTCATGTCGTTTTTATTATTTACAGCAGGCGGCGAAGGAGGATTGAGGAAAGTAAAAGAGCCTACTCAATCTCACATAGCAACGGAAGGAAAAGCCGTAAGAGAGATCGATGCACAATCCTGTGATCCCTCCTTAATTATTTTTAAACAAAATATTTTAAGTATTATGACTTGCGGTTCGAAATCGATAGATAATAAATCCCTTCTTATGGTATTACTCCTTCGATTTTAGTTGTTGTATCCTAGTCTACGACTAAATCTGTCCTCAGCTTTATGTCTTTTTTTTGTTTTGTGCTAATGAAATCTTCTGTTTGCTTGTTATAACGTCCTAGTCTTCAAAATAAAATAAGTCAGTATTGTGCTCTACCATTCATGGTTTCTAAAGTGTTGATACTCCTATAATAAAAGTAGGGTAAAAACTTACCTGTTTGCATCCAATATAATTAACTTAACCATATAAGACAAACTAAAGTCTATTAGGAATTTTATTTAAAATAAATAGATAAAAAATTAAAAAGGAAGTAAGTCATATATACTAACATAACTTCAGAAAAATTTATACTAACATAACTTCGAGAAACATAGGGTTGCCGTCAACTTCCTCGTTCTTTTTTCTTTTATTCCTAATCTTCTTCAAGTATTTGGCTAAATATCGAAGTACTAATTATTTCCGATTTTGTTCAAGCGTAAAGCATAATTCCGAAACAACAATATATGTTGCTCAATTAGTTTTGCACTCTCGGACTTGGGAGGCATACGTTATGATAGTAATTTGTACTTTTTATTGCTAAGTTAAACTTGATGTAGAATAATAAATGGTGTTCAATGGTGAAAACTTATATTGTTTTGATAGTATGACTTTGTATAATTTTAAATTTCTTGCGAGAAATAATACTGTCAAAAAATAGAGTCTAGGGATAAAGTAGTTTTTTACATAATTTTTGTGAAATCTTGGAATACATTATTGGTAATGGCCAGTGATACCGTAAAGAGCATAAACTATATATAATATATTAAATATTTTAATATTAGTATTATTTAAGATGACGTGTTAACTATAGTTAAGTATTGATAATTGCAGTTAAATAAGGTGGCATATGTCATTTGCTTATTGGTTGGGTATAAACACATGGTGTGGGTAAGTTTTTATCACTCTTTACCATCCGAATGAACTTTTCACCCAAAAAAGGGGGGCAAAATATAAAATTGGTATATAACTGGCCTTCGGCCGAAATTAATTGCATTTGTTAAAAAAAAAGTGTAATATATATATATATATATATATATATATATATATATATATATATATATATATATATATATATATATATATATATATATATGAGCGGCTAAAAATACATATGTAACGACCCGACCGGTCGTTTTTAGAATTTACACCCCGATCTCCTATTAACTGCTTCCCCCGTGTTAAAGTCTGCTATTTGAAATTGCCGGGATGTTCGATTTTGAGTTTCGGAGAGTTTGGGACACTTAGTCCCTAAATGGGAGCTTAAGTATTGGAAATTCGACCGTAGTTGGAACAGTGTGAGGAAGGCCTCAGAATGGAATTCCGATGGTTCCGTTAGCTCCATTGGGTGATTTCGGGCTTAGGGGCGTGATCGGATTGCATTTTGGAGGTCCGTACCTAATTTAGGCTTGAAATGCCAAAAGTTGGATTTTTGAAGTTTCCGATTCGATAGTGAGATTTTGATTCGAAGGTCGGAATAGAATTCCGGAAGTTGGAGTAGCTCCGTAGTGTTGAATGTGATGTGTGTGTAAAATTTCAGGTCATTCGGACGAGGTTTGATAGACTTTTTGATCGAATGCGTAAATTTGGAGTTTTTGAAGTTCTTAGGCTTGAATTCGATGTTAAATTGGTGTTTCGATGTTGTTTTAGGTGTTTTAAGGATTGGAATAAGTTTGAACAGTGGTATTAGACTTGTTGGTGCCTTTGGTTCAGGTCCCGGGGGACTCGGGATGATTTCGGATGGTTGACGGAAGGATTTTTGGAGTTTGGAGTTGCAGCTTCAGCTGCTGGTTTCCTGTCATAACTGCACCTGCACGACTATGTGGCCGCACAAGCGATATTGGCCCAGAGCTCCAGGATCCGCAGATGCGGCTAAGCGATCGCAAATGCGGACCCAGCCCAGTTGACACAGGGGTGATTTTTTTCGTTGGCACCACTATATGGCAGTCAGCTCGCAGCTAACTTCAGCCCACAAGAACACCTGTTTTGATACTTAGGTGCAAAGACAGAATTAAACGAGGGAAACAGGCACACAATGTTTACAGGCAACAAGCCCAACTTTTATTTATCTCTCTGATAAATACAAAGAATCACGAGTTAGGAAAGCTCTTTACAACATCCTATATTTATACAAGTTCTGCCTCAGCAGGTATAATACATTTACAAGAGTATTTCTGCATGTGCCAGCTGTCTCACATGCAGCCAGTCCAGCTGCCAGGTGTGCCACGCACATTGCCCCAATGCCATGCCTGTTGCAGCAGCTTGTGCTGGTAATCATTTCCGTCAGAGGCATGCTCTGACGGAAATGATTTGTTGGGCAAGGTTTAATTGACTTTTCGCACTTGTGATGTATTTTCCGCAGGTGCGGGACCGCAGGTGCGCTCCCTTGACCGCATATGCTTTAATCGCTGGGCAGAAATATGAAATTTCGAGGGTTTGGTTCGAAACTTGGAAAAAAATCAAATTGGAGCTCGGGAGAGGGCGATTTTGAGAGGAAATTGAAGAGGAAATCATTGGATTTGGGCCATTTGGAGTCGAAAACTCGTGGCAAGAACGTGGTTTCAGGTTGATTTTTTTTAGTTGGTTCGAGGTAAGTGGCTTGCCTAACCTTGCGTGGGGGACCTTCCCCTTAGGATTTGGAATATTTGTTAATTGAAATGCCTTGTACGTAAAGTGACGAGTGCGTACTTGTGCTAATTGTTGAAAAATATGGTTCCCATTAAGTACTTAGAATTGTGTTTTCCTTTCCTGTTTACACTACTTGCAAGTTAAGCCTTGTAGACAATAAATTTGCGTCGAGAAAATAAAATCAAGACCGAAAAATATTGCAACAATCGTAGTATTTTATTTTGAATATTTGAGTGTTACAATCTCTATGAATCCTCTGATTCTTCTTTTCAATAGTAAATAAATTCAAGGGCCTTTGAGCTTGATCTTGAATATGTAGTTGTCGCCACGAACGATGATCTTGTTCTTGAGCTTTAGCTTGATTGCTTGAACTTGACCTTGATTTGTTCTTCGTTCTTGAGCTTGAACTTGATTTGTTCTTCATTCTTGAGCTTGAACTTGATTGCTTGAAGCTTGAAACTTGTAGAGAAATTTGCGGCGTTTGATCCACGAGCTCTCTCTTGCTTCTTGTTATAACTTCTAGTCTCTTTTCTCAGTTATGAAGACCCCTATTTATAGTTGTGGGAGGGAAGAGTAATGATAAGAACAAACTCTTTCCAACCAATCAAATTGAAGTGTGACATGACCGCATTTGATTGGCCAGAACATGTCACTTGCACCCGTGGCGCGATTTAATTGGCCTTTCAGTGTGACTAGGCATGCCTTGTCATTTTGACACGTGGCATATGTCCTATTGGCTCTTCCGCTTGACTTGGCGCGCCACGTCATTTGACACGTGGCACAAAACTGGGCCTCTAGGAAGATGTAATCTTGGGCTTAATGAAGTGGACTTATCACTTTAGCCCAATTAAATGGGCTAGCCCAATAGATTAAGACTTATTTATTTAATCCCTATATATTGAACTTATATAATTAATTCAATCATATTAGCCCATAATATTTATTTGGACCAATATATCTTGAATTTAAAATATAAACCAAATTAATTTTATGGATTTAAATCCAATAAATTTTGTATGCCTACAAGCCTGTTGTTATCTTAGGAAGGCATGCCTAATTGATTTAACTACTTATTTGTTCTACTGCCCTACTTGAATTATGTGCAGCATGCTAGGTTAGGTATACCTGATTTACCTTGGTGTGAAATTGATTGAATTGAGTTTCTTGTTGCTGCTGTGTATTTACTTTGGGACTACGGGACGGTATCCCGGGAGCTCCCCTGTATGTTTACTTTGGGACTGCGGATTTGTATTCCGGGAGTTCCCCCTGCACTTTTACATTAGAACTACGGGATTGCACCCAGTAGATTCCCCAGTATTGAGTATTTATATTTTAGGACTACGGATGTGGTATTCCGGTAGATCCCCGCGCATTTATGAGTTGGGCTACGGGACTGCACCCGGGATATCCACTGGGTATTATATTTGGGGACTACATGACGGTATCCTGGGAGATCCCCCGGCTGTTACCTCTGCGTTGAACTGTATTTGTTTACCGTGATTACTTGTTTTTCTGTTTTAGTTGTCGTTATCCTTTATATCCTGTGTTACTCTTACTGTTGTACTCATTTGTACTGCTCTGTTCTACACTGTCGAACTTTATATTATATTTAATCTCAGTAGGGATCAGACCTTCCTCGTCACTACCCGACCGAGGTTAGGCTTGGCACTTATTGAGTACCGCTGTGGTGTACTCATGCCCTTCCTGCGCATGTTTTTCATGTGCAGATCCAGGTACCTCTACTCAGACTTACCATCCTTGAGGCGAGGCGATCTTTCGGAGACTTCGAGGTATATCTGCCGCGTCCGCAGACCAAAGAGTCTCTCTCCATTCTCTCTTGTAGTTACAGTCCTTCTGTATTTACTTTGTTTTAGAATTCTGGAGTTAGAGCACTATGTAGTATTCTTAGCTTGTGATTTTATGAGATTCCGGATTTAAGGAAAGTATTATTATTCGAAAGTTGATATAGTGTATGCCGAGCGGCATTATTAAACACCATTTTTATTTACTATTTTGGTTTTTACTTGTTTTTTTTCCGCAAATTGGTGTATTTTTTTGCATTTTAGGCTTACCTAGTCGTAGAGACTAGGTGCCGTCACGATGGTTCACGGAGGGCGAACCGGGGTCGTGACAACATATTTCTTAAAATAAATTGATTGCCAATTATTGGTCATTTGACTATCACAATTTTAAATAAGTTTTGGGACCGTTTGTCCATTTCATTGATTCACACCCTTTCCTTTATCTGTTAGCATATATTTTTTTTATTTGGTTTGCCGAAAAATGCGTAAAAATAGCATGGGCTAGCTAATTTTTGGATTGGACATTCAAAAATAGCCAGCGTTTGCAAAGTCATTGAAAAATAGCCACTATTTTGCTGCAACAAGAACCGGTCCAGCATAATATGCCGGAGATCGGTGCACCTGTGTATGAACTTCCAGCATATTAT